ATTGTTTGTCTTGTTTAACCGATTGTTTGATTTTACAGTTTTAAATACATGATAATGTATTAGAATTGGTAAATGATTCAGTTGTATTTTTCTTAATGCATGTATTATTTGTCTTGCGTTGATTTACGATTAAATTGTGAAGCTGAAAATTAAATGTAAACAGAAAATTTGATTGGTTAAATGAATGAATGAATGAATGATAGCCTTACTGGATATCCTGGGAGATGGTGGACGAACCGAGTACATAGAAAATCCTACCGTAAATGTCAATTCATACCGGATAGGGTATCGAAGATTGGTATTTTTAGCGCTCATATCGGACGGGGTATGAGGACAACTCGTTTCACCCTCATACCGGATGGGGTATCGAGAATCGTATTTTTTCCGCTCATACCGGACGGGTTATGGAGACGATCCGTTTCACCATCATACTAGACGGGGTATCGAGAATTGATATTTTTGGCGTTTATACCGAACGAGGTATTGAGGATTGAAATTTTTTGCATTTATACCAGACGGGGTATGGGGACGACCCGTTTCACCCTCATACTGGACGGGGTATCAAGGATTGGTATTTTTTGTGCTCATACCAGACGGGGTATGGGGGCGACCGGTTAGTTGACAATGTTAGATGTTGTTTAATGCATAATGGGACATCCCTATGGACTCCCATGGATACCAGTAGGCAAATAAAGAAAGAAATGTTTTATTCTTGCTTACTTAAATATGAGATTATGATGCTGTTGAGCTATTGTCTCTATAGGTCGGTTTTGAAAATCTCGTAATTGTAAGTATACAATAAATGGTTTTGCTTATGATAAACGAATTTACTTAAATTAAGAGATCTATTGGTTGTTTTTATGATTTTTACCAACCTTCAGTTTTTGTATCGATGAGTAGTGTGATATTCTTACTAGGCTAGTGTAACTCACCATTTCATTAGCTATTTCAAATCAAGAAGACCAAGACACAGATTTCGATCAACAAGAGGTTTGTGAATAGTTCACCATCAGGACTCCTTCAAAAACTAGTGAAGGTCGTCATAAGATGCTCAGTTATTTACTTTTTGTTTATTTCTTGATTTTCATTTGTTTTTTTAGAAAGAACATTCTCGTAGCCCTATTGAGCATTTTAAATTATTGTGTAAGGAATGTAAACCCTAATTCTATTATTCTGCTTCCGCATTCAATTTATGATTTTATTTTTTTTAAGTTACGAGACATTACATAAATATTCACTTATTTGATCATAAGAATAGTACAAATATTGTAAGGCTCGGGATGTTGAATTTTAATATTTTTCTAATAACAAAAATAAGAGTTTTTAATTTTTATTTACATTTGTTATTTTTATTGAGAATTATGCATTTTGAACGTTTTTTAAATAATTTTCAAAAGTTAGGGTCAAATTACAAATAAGGCGAGGGTATGTTTGAAAGAAATTTGGAAAAAATAGGGCCACTTCTCAAATTAAAAGAAATGAGCTACGTAGGACAGCCGCGTCAACAGCACGGCGAATCAGGACACGTTACGTGACAGACATGCTGGCACGGGCTCAATGCAGAAGCCAAGCGGGCAATCTGTGTGCCAGGGTGATCAAGCAGTCTATGTTCACTCCCACACGCACAAACGACTTGGATTTATTCCCCGAATAGGCCTCGATCAGATGGCTCCTGTTGCCCTACGCAGACCCGGATGGACAACCTAGATCGGCTTCCCAAATTGGCTCGATTGAACGGCCATTTGCATGCCACGTTTTCCAGAATGGACGACCGAGATTAAAAAAAGATAGGTATTTAAACCTCTATTCAGACAAACCCTAACCCTAGCCGACACACACCAAACTAGAGAAGAAAAAGAGAGGCGGTCGGAAGGAGACCCAACCACCGGAGGAACGCTAGCACCACTGTGCCGAAATGCCAAAAATACTTTAGTAGGTTTAAAATTATTTATATTATCTCTGCTTCTTCGTCCTTAGCCATATAACTTGTTCGTTGCAAGAGAACAAAAAATAATCGTGAACTGCAAGGAATGAACGACAGAGCGCAGCTGAGCCGCTGCACTGCAGGACTAAAACTGCTAGTAAGCTTTTGTTTTTCTCCTTATTTCGCTGGGAAACACCTTCTAACTATGATTTAAATAGATTTTTACCGAGAACCGACTAAAAACAGCCTAACCGAGAGGAAGAGCTGTTGGAGAAGGAGGACCAGGCGGTGGAGCACAGCGGCACTGCCGCACCAGAACCCCAACTCGACCCCTTCGGTGAGATTTTTTGTCATTTTTTGTGTATTTTTACGTTATTTTGACGTACGTTTTGATCTTAGTAAGAAAATTTAAGAAATTCAAGAACCGGAAACTGTCGGAAACCGTAGTGAAAAAAGGTAGTGTTTTGGACACTGACCTATGGTAAGAATCTCTCACTTTTTTTCTTATTACATTTAAATTGAAGCCAAACAAATAATAAATAAAAATTTTAGATAATTAGTAGCTCTTTAATTAATTAACTACAGGTTACTAATGGAGCAAGTAACCGGTCAGTCTATGTCTATTTTAAGTTTTAATTACAGTAGTTATTTATTCAGTTGTTTATTATGTTGATCTATTCAGTTTAATTTATTTGCTTTAAATCTATGGCTAACATTATAAAATTTCTTAATCTATGTTGTCATGTCA